TGTTTGGTAATGCACACACACACACACACACACAAAATCCGCCTTTGGAATGGATAACCGCTCTGTGGAGACCCACATAATTCAGATGGCCCCTCTGGCTGTTCAAATTGCACTGAAATAAAGAGCAAAACATGCCTGTTTAGGGCTTAGCTTTCAAGTTTTAACTCCCGAGTTTTGGGCTACTAAAGAGTCCTTAAAATTGAGAGTTAAAATTTAAAACCTAACCTGCAGATTGATTCTGCACCAATAAACCTTGCCGGGAAATGGATCAAAAACTAAAAAATAGATAAGTAATACATGGCGGTGCTTTTTGAACAGCAAGCACAGCTGTCCAAGTGGAGGTCATATCAGCGGTGCGGTTATCTGCTTCTGAGAAGAATTCTATTTTCATTTTCGCTGAAATCACTTGTATTTTATGCTTCTTGTTTTTGGTACCAACAGCCGAATTTGGAATGAGACTTGGCTGTCCAGTTTCTTTTACAAACCTTGCAATTATGAGCTATTTGTGAAGCAATCTCTCAATATGGAGATGGCTATTGTCATGGCAAGGGTATGAAAGATTTTTCTCATATTACTGGTTCCTATGTTGTTAGTTTTACCTTATGATAATAATAGGTTTTGTTGATTTATTTCTTTTTTATCTGCTTGGAACTTTCTCCTGCATACAAAAATATCAGGATGCTGGAATGGACTGGATAATTCATCTTGACACGGATGAGTTACTGCACCCAGCTGGTGCCAAGGAGTATTCTTTGAGGCAGTTGCTGCTTGACGTGCCTAGGAATGTGGATATGGTTATTTTCCCGAACTATGTATGTGAAATTGTTTAGATACTTTTAAATTGTGTGATTTTGGGACATGTAAAGATGATCAAGCATGCTAGTCTTGTTAATTTCTTGTATTGGCTCCTGTTTCTGCCCTGATGCTTTTATTCAGTGATTTAACTAACTGTGCTTATTTTTTTTTGAGTAGGAGAGCAGTGTTGAACGCGATGATATTAAGGAACCTTTTACTGAGGTGAATTTCCTCTATCGTCTCTTGCCTTTTTTGTTTGGTTATATAGACTTCACTATATCTCTAGAGTTCAACAATCAATAGATTGATATTTGTTATTCTATATGGGTTCTTAGATAGTAAAATAAGGTACATAGCATATGTTGCTGCCTGTTCCTTCACCATGCGTATCATAACTTTGAATTTGTGATGAGTTCCTAACCTTATCCTTAGTCTTAGACTTACCATGCTGGAAAACAGTATATTGTTGCCCAGTTAAACTATGCAAGGACAAAGTTGTTAAACACACTGCCGATTTATATAATAGGAAATTTGGTTCACAAATAGTATTGAAATTTGGAAATGTGAGGATCCTATTTTCTTTTCTGAGTAAAACCAATAGTGATTTATGTTATATTAGTTTTAGGTCCCAAGTCAACCAATTTTTGACCTTTTGAAAAGTCAAAATTGTGGCATTTTGTATAATTTTATAATCATTTTTGGTGTTTTAGTTTAACTTTAGTTTGAGTTTTCAACTTTGATCTAAAACTAAATGCAAAAAAACATTTCTGATCAATTCCTAATATCAAAAATACTTTTTTACCAAAACCAGATTAGGCCTTTATATAATCCGAATTAATGGATCAGAGACCAGCTATGTTGTTTTAAATGTTTACCCAAGAACGTGAAATGATTCCAATTTGTAATTAAACTTGCTATTACCTTGATCTGCCTTGTTTTCAAATCTAGACAGAAAGCTTTGAAGTTAACGTGTTATTAATTCAATAATGGCATAGTGTTTGGAGATAAGTAGGCAACTGTGGGATTAAGAGAAGTAATATATAGGATATGGAGTGTGCTGCATAAAGATGCGGTAGTCACGAACCTTACTACAAATAAATCTATCCTGGTTGATTTTTGAAAATGCTGCACATCATCTCTATTTTATATTTCAATTAGCATTCATATATGGTCTTTGATCTATGTCTTGCTCTTGTATCTACACAAACAGGTATCCATGTTTAAGAGGAATTATGACCATGTACCAAAAGATACATACTTTGGCATGTACAAAGAATCAACTCGTGGCAACCCAAACTATTTTTTGACTTATGGAAATGGGAAGTCAGCTGCTCGAATCCAAGATCATCTCCGTCCTAATGGTGCACACAGATGGCACAATTATATGAAAACCCCAAAGTACTGTAATTTTGTATGGAAAGAGTAGTGTTTTTTTTATTGAACTTATTCATCCCAGTAATCATATTTCTTGTAATTCCTTTTAGTGAGGTCAAATTTGAAGAGGCTGCTGTTCTACACTACACATATGCCCGATTTTCAGACTTGACTTCTAGACGTGATCGGTGTGGCTGCAAGCCAACAAAGGAAGATGTGAAAAGATGCTTTATGTTGGAATTTGACAGATCTGTGAGTTCAATGCTTTGTTTAGATCTTGTTAAACTCTTCCACTTGCATTACAGTATCATCAAGCACTTGATATAACTGGTTAAGTTTATAAAACTAACTAGTTGGTCCATATGGAAGAATTATATAATGTGACCATGATAGGCACTAAGCTATAAAGGGTCCAATATAGAAAGGGAAAGTTCACAAGGGATACTTATACAACTGGTTGGAAGAAATTTGAGGCCTAGGAGAGGGTAATGTGGCAATAAGATGAGTTGCTGTTATTAATCTGATAAGTTCAGAAAAAGTTATGTGAGTCATGGCAATTTACTTCTTGTATGTGGTCATTTTCATTCAAAGCAGTCAAGGAGGCTATTTGGATTAACTTGGGATCTAGTGGTGACTGTCAAGTTTAGTTGTTTATAGAAATAGAATTCTTGAAAATTTGAAGCACATTCTTATTGATTGAGCTGTTTATTGAATAATTAAAAAGGAATATAGTTGTGTTATTTTCTAACTTCAAGCGTAATCTTACAGCGAGGCATATATGGCATAGTGACTTTCTACTGAAATCATTTAGCAGATTTTGCTAATATTCTACGAATTTGTAAATAGAATTTGGACTTGTCTTTTCCCTTCTATTTCCCCTTTCTTTTGGCAACAATTAAAATAGCTGCCAGGTCTTCAGTGCTTTTTCATTGCATTTCGTTGTGCTAACTCTTTCATATACTAACCAACAATTAGCATTTCAGGCATTCATAGTTGCTTCGACTGCAACCAAGGACGAAATGCTGAAATGGTAAAATCTTCTGTGCAAGTTATTTTGCTTATCTTCATCCTCTTTTAAAATTTGAGTTGTATTAATTCAAATGCCGTATATTTTGGGGAGAACTGTTGGAATTAGCTTACTCTTCATTATTGATAATCCTTTATTGTGAATTAATGTTTGAGCTTGGCTTCTATTCTAGGTACCATGAACACATTGTATGGGATGACAAAGACATAAAATTGAAACTTTTGAGAAAAGGCATTTTGACTCGAATATATGCTCCCATGGTAAGCATGTTTATCAATATTCTTCACCACAAAAAAATTAATTGAAAAGAGATACAAAAGAATCTAATTAGTGGTCACAATTTTTTTTTTTTTTTTTTTCATAGCTGATATATCTAGTGCAGAAGACACATTTGAAGTTGACTAGTAATGAAAAATTTACCGTAATTGTATTTTCGCATAATGTGATACGTTGTAGTTGTATTTTTATTTAATGTGATGGATGAAGTCTAGAAAAGGTATAAGTAGACATATATTTAATTTTTCTTTTGGCTAGTAATGAAAGACTCATATCAAGTGTTTATATCATGCAGTTGTACTAGACCTTTTATAATTTCATTTGCTGAAAATAATGTATATTACAATAGACAGGGCGTAAGTGGTTGATAATCACGAAAGTAAAGGAGGAAGTTAATTTGATAGTGGGAAGTGGGTTATCTTTATCTATGAACTTCAAATAATTCATATTAATTTTTAGCTGCTTATTTATATTTGAAAATGATCAACTCATGTTAATAATGTAATTAACAAACTGTAAATAAATTCTGATAAAGATATTTGACAAAGCTTCAAATCAAAACTTAAGGTCGCACAGAACACAATTGAGTTGGTTTTATTTATTAGTATAGATATATATGTCTGAATAATTTTAAAAGCTATCCCTTGTACATCTCAGGTCATAATACAAGGACTACGGGAGTCGGGAGTGTTCAGCTCTGTTATTGCATCTGCCCCAACAGCTCTCTCAAAAGAAAAGTTTTTGTTGACAATTGATAGTAGTAACTCTTCTAGAGCTACTGCCTCCCAATCCCTCCCATCGAGGAAGATTGGCAGAATTGGAGAGAGTAAGGCTACTATCAGGAAGGCCTTGGAAGTTGACGCAGCTGAATTTGAAGAAGCTGCTGTTCCACCATTGTCGCCACCCGGAATGGATGACAACCATCTCAGTGTACGAGTGTAATAAGGTCTTTTTATTGTGATTGCTTCTTCTTCTTCTTCTTCGTCTTCATAGTGTGAATGGACAGGTTAATAGGTAAGTTTCAAATATAGCTGTAATTATTCTTTTTTAATTTTTTCTTAGTCAGACAGAAGATTCTCATGTGACAAGTCTAGCTAATAGTCAGAAGTTATAAACATTGAAATTCTACAGATATTTCATTAGACATTGAAATTATATATGAGGATTTTGTTCACAATTCAATCCATAGACTAATTAAGTTGCATTATTAGCACCGTCTTCATTCTTTATAAAATTATGTATTAACATAAACGTGATTAAGAACCAGGAAATTTTTTAGCTCAAACATATGCAAGAAAAGCTGCATGTCCAATGTTTCATCCAAGCTCCGCCATTTACTTGTTGGTCTAACATCGCTTCTTAGTGGGAGAACTTCAAATGCACCTACTCACAATCACTTTAGCTACAAGCTCTTTCCTGAAACTCTTAGTATCATTCTAATATATCTTGAATATAGAACTGACACGGTTCAAAACTAGATGCAATGAAAAGGGTGAATAATTTCTTTATGACTTTTCCTGATTTAGCAAAACAAAACAAAAGGCAAAAAAGAAAGGAAAAGGATCTCAGTCGAGTCATCCTATTCCAAGTTCACAAAGAATTTTGAAGGGTTTTTGCTAATTTCATATAACCGAGACGTTTTCATCCTCTGGTTCATCCACAGCGGCCCCCTGCTGCACTACAAGAATGGATGCGTTAATTGCAAAACTTGAAGTCAATAATGCTTCCCCGAGAGGCCCCAATTGATCGTCAGTCTGGCTCAAATAATGATCCAAAAATGCCTTCGCCGGTGATGTGCTTCCATGCCGTCTTCCCACTATGTACAAGTCATATTCACCCTCCAACTCCCTTATGAGATTCAGAGTTTGTTCCCAGCTATTCATGGCCTCCTCCAAGAATTGTATGTTGGGGTTGTGCTTGGACTTCAGCCTAAATTGGTCCACGTACAAATCGTCTATTTGCTTCTCCCTCCCACTGTCTTCCATTACCTTTGGATCAGTTTCCTTCTTCTTGTTGCCTTCGTTGTTATTTGGGGTAACGATAAACCGTACAACCTTTAAGTTAACCCTCGGATTTCCTGCCATCCTCCATGCATACGTTAATGCCTCGCGGTCATCTGCCCCTCCGATGAAGAACATGGCGAAGTGGCGGTAGGCCTGGGAGGCGTCCTTGCAGGATTCGGTCACATGGGACATACTAAGCCCGCGGTCGACAAAAACCGCCACGGAGCACGGGGCCTTTTCGATCACGTTATTGTTGATGCCCTTCAAACTTGGGTTGGCATCCTCCATGGCGCCATCTATATTAGCTTGCATGTGGAACGGGATGATTATGAGGTTGATGCACTTCTCCTCAGCCAGATTGCATATGTCCTCGTGCATGGTGTTGTAGGCTGAAACGGTCGTGAGTGCTTGAACATAAACGTTTTCTCTTCCCTTGGCGTAGCTTTCAAAGGCATTTCTAGAGGTGAATGACTCAGGTTGTGCCTCGGTGTTGGCCCAGGTGTGATTTGTGTTAGCTTTACAAGCGTCATGCACGATGAGCATGGCCGAAGCTTGGCCGGTGAGCTCCACAAGTTGGACGGCGAAGACGTAGATCCAGGATTGTCGGGATGGATTTGAAGCCTCAAGGAGGTCTACAATGCCGGAGACGTTGGTGGAGGTGTGGGTATATGTGAGGATTCGAAGCTCGGTATCAGGTTCTAAGCTTTGTATGTTCCTGATTTTGTATTGTGCGGAAGCCCTTGTGGTCTTGTAACCCAGGGCTAGGAAGGGTCCAACAGGAACCGTCATTAGCCAAATTGCACTCATCATTACTGCAAACGTTCGGTGGTCCAAGACCTATAGACATGATGCACCATACAGATATGTAATTAATTAACACTACGATGTTGTCAGATTATGAATTCGAACAATTGATTCATCAAGTAAATTCTTGTCTGAATATGTGTTGTTTAGAATCATATATATAATATAACTTGGAAAAATAATGTTTGACGTCGTATTAACTTGTCAACTAGTTTATGAAATAACGAGTGAGGTAGAATAGTACTTACTTGTAGGTCCTTAGCAGAGTTGAGAATGATGAGTCCCAATAATCCTTTAGTGTTCATGAGTATCCCAAGAGTAAAACTGTCCCAAGGTTGAATTTTGTGGATTAAGGCGACGAGAAAGGTGGTGAAAATCTTAGAAGCGGAAGACAGAACGATAACCACCATGACACGGCACGCGTGAGCTGCACCGTAGGGCACTTGGTTCTCAACGTCCTCATAAACAACATGCCTGAAATCGGTCCTTAGCCCGACGAACAAGAAGAAAAGGGGCATCATGAGCAGATACACATAGTTTTGGATCCTCTGCATCACCATCTTCTTCATCTCTCCCTTCTTGGGCATGATGGCTCCCAACACGAAAGGCCCGACGATGAAGTGGGACCCACATGTTTGCGTTATGAACCCGAATATCACGACACCGAACAGGACAAAGCACACGTTAAGGTCCATATCGTTATTATTATTCTTTTTGTTCTCGGTAAATTTGCAGCGGATTGCCCACAAGAGAGCAGGCCGAAGAACAAAAACACAGACGACTACGAAGGCTACGGTGGTCGCGAACCCGCGCCACCCGGCCGCAGTCATTACCGACATGGTCACGACAAGAAGAAACCATGAGCATAACTCAGCAATGACGGCGGCGGATAGGGCAAGCCGACCGACCTCAGAATGGAGGAGTTTGAGGTCGGCGAGGATTCGAGCTAGGTCGAGGAAGCTGGTGGTGCCGAGGGTAATGCCCCAGACCAAGGGCCCGTACCTGGTGGGCCTTTTGCCCTTGTACTTCCAGCGAGAGTCGTTGCCAAGGAGAAAGTAATGAAGAGCCGCGCCGAGGGGTACGGTGACGACGAGGCCCGCGAGAGCAATGCTCAGAGCCTTCTTCCCAGCACGTTTTACTGGTTTGAAATCAAGCTCTAAACCCACCATGAACATGTAGTAAAGGAGGCCCAAGCTTGCAATTGTTTCTATTGTCAAGAAGTTGTGGAAAGGAGCTATGTACGCGCGAGCAAAGTTTATACCACCGATAACAGATGGACCCACTAGCACGCCACCCTCATAAAAGAAAAAAAAACATACAGTAGCAATTCCTCAAATAAGTTATTTGATAGTCAACCGATTTGGTTGATATGTTTTTTTTCTTTTCATTTCTTTTCTTTTTACAAGGATAATTCTTAATGGAGATTGAAAAAAAAGTTGGTTCGGATAATCAAACTACAATGGTACAATTCACTCAACAAATGGTATTTCAAATAGTGTTCATTAATGGATGCATATTGATGCTAGAACTTATGTGTCACTGTTGAAAATGCAATCAACAAATTATACTCAATTCTTATTTTATACGAATTGACACATATAACATGTTAACATAGATAATAATAACAAACGAACTATTGTGTTAGCGCCTATTTCCGAACATGGATGAGTAACACAATTTTGACGTGAAAATCCTATCGAACTCACATTATACAAAAGTAGATTTTTTTTTTTTTTTTTTTTTCCGCTTTGATATACAAAGATATGACATTTCAATATTCATAAGAGCTATAAGGCTACTTACAAGAATATCAGCGACAATACGAGGCTGGTGCAGGGGCTTGAAGGCAACCATGAGAATGCGAGTGACGAGCATGACGATGACCAATTGGCTGTTGAGCGATGGGAGAGATCTGTTGGCGGGGGTTTCCGCATGCCAAAAATCTCCTCTCATGAAAACTGTCATATTATAACACACCCGCGCTGTTGCGTCTCCTGATCCTGGTGGACTCATTGATATACTCTTATCTATTTACTTCTTTGATTCCTCCTTCGTACGACGACGTCGTCTTCTTCTTCTTCTTCCCTTTACATATGCCTCCCTTGTTTCCCCAGCTACAAAGAAAAGTAAATTCACCAGAGAGAAATGTATATATATAGGTGAAAGGCCCTGCCCTAAACGTTCTCTCTGTTTTGTACAGCTTTTCATTTTCAGTTATACACCAGCTCTACATGGCCAACTAATTTAAACCATGTAACCAACTAACCATTTTCAATTTTAATAAGTTACTCTTCGTTTTTTACTGTCTCCTTCTCTCTCATTTTCATTGAATCTCATCCACTCAAGCTCATTTAAATGAAATCTAATGGTGGTCGCTTTATGTGGTAAGATCTCTTGTAATTTTTATTTTATTTTATTTGTTTCCAACGTCATTTAAGTTGAAGGCTTAATCTATGCTGCCAAATGGTCCAACCTGGACTGTCATATAAAAGGGGATTCTCAAGGCGCTCTACACTCAGTACAACAGGGCCAAGCTGATCTGTCCCACCTTGGTTGCCTAATTGAGGATTGTAAAACACTTTTGGCCAAACAAGAGCGTGTCTATTTGAGGTTTACAGAGAGGAAGGCTAATGGGGTTGCAACTCGCCTGGCACGCTATGCTCTACACTCCTAGCTAGGAAGCAGCAGAATGGGTTACTGATCCCCCAGTTTTCCTACAGGATGTTTTGTTTTCTGATGTTATGTAATTTTCCTTGTTCTGTACGTTATTGGCATATGTGGTACTCTTTCCTACCCCGGGGTTTTTCCCTTGTGGTTTTCTCCGGGAAGGTTTTAACGAGGCCACACTTTACATGCCTATTATTCCTCCCTTCTAATGGAATGAAATCAACCTTTTCAAAAAAAAAAAGTTGAAAGGATCGAACGTTTTCACCTTTTAAGTAATTTTCTTAACTGAAAAATAAACCTTTGGATTGTGTTTTGATGAAGTAAATGGTTTTTGAATTTTGAGGGAATAAGATGAAAGGAGGGAGAGTTAAGAAAATGACATCTTCAAACTTGAAACTAACACTTGGAATGATAAATTCGAATGGGTTACTTGAATGTGCTCCTAAGTTAAAATATATAGAGTCAGAAAATCTAAATTAAGGAGGCCTCTTGGAGCTCCAAGAAGAGAGAAATGAACTCCTAATAACTCTCTATCATTAATGATTAATAATTTAATACTATTTTAAATGAATTTATCCTATTATAGAACCATCATCATGATTCTTATTTTCAGGTTCAATTATTTTTAAAAAAAATTTTATTTAGAGAGAAATTGGTAGAATTCATTCAATAGAACAAAGCGCTGACATGTATACTATGGCCATGTTAAAACCTTCTTGGAGATAACTACGTGGGATAAAATCCCAGGATAAAAAAGAGTACAACACATGCCATCAAATAACAAAACCAAAATCACGTACAAATCATCATGTACAAGAGTATCTTGGAGCCAATCAGGGGGAATCCCAAACCATTCATGCCTATGAGAACCTCCAGAATAGGACAAAGCATAATTGGCCAATCGATCAGCTACTCCATACGCTCACATCATCCACCATGATAAGATCTTTATAAACCTAAAAAGGATAGCGAGCTATTTTGGGAGCTTTTTGTAAAAGTTATGGTCCAATCATGCCCCTAATTTAGGGAGTTAAAATGAGTAGGAGCAAACATGAATAAAGACTAGGATTAGATGAAACAAACATGGGGAGTAAATTTAGTCTAAGCCTGTGTAACAATCAGCCCCTAATAAAATATCATGTTAGAATGGCTCCAAAAAGAAAAAAGAACAAAAAAGAAGCTAAAATACTAATCATTAATAATAAGGAGCCATTAGGAATCTCTTTATCGCTTCTGATGTGTAAGAGCTCCTAGAAGACCTACTATCTCATTTAAGGAGTCCAATGGAGACTTTCTTAACTCGGAGCTCATTTAAGTAAGCCTACTCATTGTAACTCCCTATATATAAATTTTATGAAGAGCTTTGGAATAACTATGTAGTCTTTATTAAAACTAAACTCTAAAATAGGGAGTATGATTGGAGATGCTCTAACAAAAAAAAGACGGAAAAAATACTTAATATAATATGTATAGTTAATGTGCTGTTTGGTGTTGGTGCTCTACAAGTATAGGAGATTCTTTGTCGGGTAAAGAACTATGATGTCGAATACAAAGCTGATATTTTGGATCGTCATAGGAAGGCTTCTTTGCCGTCTAATGTGGTCCGGTGCCAACAGCCGCAGACTGGGTATTCTAAATTAAATGTTGATGTTGCGGTGGATTTGAATGATGGATCCCGCAGAGTTGGTATCATTGTTCGGAATTCTGATGGGGACCTTGCTGGTGCGGTGGCTATGGCTGCGCCTAGTATGCTTTCTGTGTTGGTCAGTTAATCTACTTGATAATGAATGAACTAAGAATCCCATAATTTCAAAATAAAATAAAAGTTCATTGAGTTGTGTTACTTGAGCTAAAAATATGTCGGCAGCAGTTCTTCCAAACGGCGATATCTGACCAAGATAAGCAATTGGACTAAGCAAAGCAGCTGATCTTAGCAGGTTTAACAGCTTTTCTTGGGAGAAGGCGGCAAGGGCAGTCAAAGTTCCCTATAATTTCAATACTTTCCAAGTCTCAGTCATATTTATTTGTTAATTATATGTGTTACAAAAAAGAAAAAAAAGAAAAGAAAAAAACCTGGATCCAGCAAATATTTACCAAGGAATGACCAACACAGTGTAATTTCCGTCCTGATTGATTGTTCACATACTGGAATGCAGCAGGAAGATCATAAGCAGTCAATTCATCCCATGACCAGTCCCAGTATGCCTACATATATAAACATGTATCATTAGCACATATAAGCTTAATTACGATGCAGATTATGGTGTGATTAAAATAAAAGCAAAGTGATCGTACCGGATCATTAGGGCTAAGTGATGTGTGTTCGCCGCTAGATTCTGTCTCGCGAGCGTTGGCAAGCCATACATCAAAACCATTATCTGCCAAGATGAATGCCAAAGCCTTATCCGGCTCATTGAGCAGCCAAGCTGAAGCATCCTGTTATCACACATAAATTGTTTCTTAATTGACTTGGTATGCCATGTACTGTGTACATTTAGGGTTCAGGTATATGGTGGCTTAATTAGGTACAAACCAAAAGGAGTCCGTGTTGTAACAAAACAGGCAGCTTAGCTGCTGTCTTGTTACCGGACCGACCAGCTGGAACCCTTTGCAAGCCAAGGACATAACCATCTGCTGTTGTTAACCTTAAACCCACCAAAAGTTCCATGAAAAAAGATACAACAAAGTTTAATTAGTCAATGCCAAAAAAAGAGTGACATAAATAAACTGATGAAAAAAGATAAAACTAAGGGCTGGCATTTTATAAAACTTAGTTACTTTATGTTCTTCGCAAGCATAGCCTTGTGTCTCCACCAATGATTTGCAAATGCCACCATCCACATTGTTGGTTGGTTGCAACTTTGAGCAACTGTGGACATGATGACTTAGTCAGAATTAAGATCATATGGATCCTGACTATCTTGGTAATCCACCCACCGCTTTGGCTGAGAGGGACTCTTTTGACGAGCAGGCAGATTTGGTTGACTAGTAGAAGATTGTGATCTTGGGGAGGTCTCATCATCATCGTCCATTTGAGAGGCTTGAATAATTAATTGTTTAGCAATTTCTTGAAGCTCAGCTTTGGATTTTCCTTCGACTGAGAGGGAAGCTTGTGAGGTGCCAGAAGAAGAAGGCTTAGGATTCTGTGACTGTGCAACTGAAAGGAAGTCATTATAGACATAAACAGCAATTCTGTCAACTTGGAATTTATCCCCCCATTTAACAGAGTATTTTCGGGATAAAACTCGTGTGTTCCAATTAATCGAATAATGCCATTTTAAAATCCAGGGGACTTTATATCTAGCAATGAAAAGAAGCTGTTTGGGGAAAAATAATTCTGACTCTTTGAATTTATATTTCTTGGAAAAATAGTCAACTAACTCATGAACTTGGGAATGAAGAATTTCAGCAACTGGACCATGCTTTTCCCACCAATGGAGAAACCAAAAGGGAAAAGGGCTTTTAAATTTGCTATCAAAATTGATGAACCATGAATGACTGTAGTCAACTGTTTGGCGGAGGAAAATGGAATACCAAGCTTCAATATAATCAGCATAGCAAAATTAGAGGTTCGACTGAAGAGTTCTAAGATCATAAGGGTGTTTACCCCAATCTTCTTGGCTTAAGATTTGGCGAATATAGAAGGAATGATAGAGGATGATATGGGGTTGATTTTTATCTCTGATAGGCTTAATTTCAATTCACTGGGTCTCATGGAGAATATCACGGTAATACTGGGTTTTATATGGACTTTGTGGCATATAATGGAAATGTGGGGGAAAATAATTTTTAATCATCATATCCGGCGTAGTAAGACTTACAAATGGGCTCAATAACAAAAAGATGAGTGCTACTTTTTGGGAAATAAGGAGAGGATTTTTGGAAAGAGATTGGGGAAGGAGCAACTGGAGTGACGTGAGGGGTGATTTGCAAAGGATCATAACTGGAAACTAATGCTGATTGGTAATTAGGACGAAATTGGCCAACTGTGGTTCCTAAACTAGAGAATCTGTTTGCAACTGGAATAGGAGAGCATCCCGAGAAAGGGACGATATGAGAGGGCGACTCTGTTTTAACTGGGTCTGGTTTTGATTGACTTGTTCCTTTTGCTTATCTTTTCTTGAGGCCATTGTTTATCCTGCAGAAATTCTCTAGTAAGAAAATCAGGAATATAATTCTCACTTCCTCTCAAATATTCAATATTAAAATAAAAAATACTTAAAATTGCTTGCCATTGTGCAAATATTTGTTTGGATGCAATATTTTGAACATCTTTTTCTAATACATGCTTAGCGGACTTACAATCAACTCGAACTAAAAATTTTTGATTTAATAAATCATCTTGAAATTTAGTAATGCATAATACAATAGATAATTTCTTAATAGTAATATAATTACTTTGCGACTGTGTCCAAATACTAGAATGAAAACAAACAATTTGTTCAGATTGACTTGAATTGACTTTTTGTTTAAGAATACCTCCATAACCAATTTCAGAGGCATCAGTTTCAACTATTTTGAATGAATCAACTGAAGGGATACCAAGACAGGGAAGTGTCTTGACATGAATTTTTATCTGTTTGACTATGTCTGTACTGTATGAATAGATGACCAAGGAGGAGGATTGATCTGCAACCTATCAAATAAAGGCTTACATTGTTTTCTCAGATTTTGATATTAGAGATCCTAAAAATCTTTGCAACTGGCTTTTATCGAGGATTTGATTAGGAAACTTATCAGCAAATTGAATAACTCGATCTATTGGACTGATTTGTGACTGACATATATTGAAACCAAGGAATCGAATATTGGTTTGGAATAACTTAATTTTCTTAGCAGCGATGACTAAACCATTTTGTTTAATTATCTGGAGGAACTTATGCAAATGTTTCCAATGTTGTTCTACAGACTGAGAAAAAATGAGGACATCATCGATATAAACTATGGAGAAATGACTATAAGAGTTAAATATCTCATTCATTATATTTTGGAACTCACTAGGCGCATTCTTAAGACCAAAGGGCATAACATTCCATTCATAATGACCAAATGGAATAACAAATGCTGTCTTATACCTATCAGACTCAGTGATTTGAATTTGCCAAAAACCACTTTTCATATCAAATTTAGGAAAGACAACTGCATTTCCTAATCTATTTATCAAATCTCTTTTATTAGGAATTGGGTATCTTATCCATTCTAAGACTGTATTGAGCGGCTTATAATTAATAACTAGTCTTGGGACTCCGCGTTCTAACTCAGCATTTTTTTGAACATAAAAAGCAGGATAAGACCAAGGCGACTTACTTTTGTGAATTATTCCTTTCTATAATAACTTAGTAATTTCAGACTTACAAAACTCCATTATTTCTTGACTCATTTGGATTGGCCTAGCTTTAGTGGGAATATTCTTTTCGCTAAAGGCTTTAACATATGGGAGACTGACTACATGCTTTTTCCTGTGCCAAAAGGCGTTAGGTAAATTAGAACATACTTCATTTTTTAATTTTTCTTCAAAGTTTTGGATTTGGAATTGTAAAGACTCATTACTAAGTTCTTGTTCAATTCTTTTGAACTTTACTTCTTCTTTAAGAAAATCTAATTGCTTATCTTTATTTTGAATTACTTTAACTATTTTAGCAACTGCATGTTTTTGTAAAGCTTTCAGATTCTGTAACTCAGGCTTAGTTAAAAACTCAAATTTGACTTCTCACCTAAATGGGTAGATATGACACCGTCGTATTCTACCTGAAAAGGATACAACATGCTAATAAAAGGTAATCCTAAGATGACTTCATCAGTGATATTTTTGACTAAGACAATTTAACTGAAGCGACTTTCCTGAGGCTGTACTTAATGATTCTTTTGATTTCTTATAATACTTTGTAGGAACTAAACCTTCCTGAATACAATTAAGGTCGGCTCCTGAATCAAAAAGGGCAACTGTGTTGAACTCAAATTTTTTAACAAATATGGTGACTTTAGAATACCATTTCCTAAAATTTACTTGTTTAATTAAATTAAGGGTTTGGTTATTGGAGGAAGGTTCACCATCAGAATTGGCTGGACTTCCTGGTTGGCTTTTTGACTCAGAGGCTTCCTTTTCCATTAAAGTAATTAAATCTTGTTTAATCTCATAATTCTCGGTTTGTAACTTATGACTTATTTGTCTTAACTCTATTATCTCTTTTTTTACTAGTTTTACCTCTATTTGTAAATCCTATAGGGTGACTTCTTTTCTTTTATTGAATCTTTCTAAAGTAGTGTTCAGACTTATCTTCTGGGGACTTGGGTGACTTGTGTCTTCCTGACTAATGACTTTCCTTAGCTTTTTCAAATACTCAGATTTTAACTCAGAATTCTCTATTTTGCTAATTAAATCAATTAACAATTCTTCTTGTTCTTTCTGTTTAGTAAGGACACTAATTGATTTTAAAACATTGCAGCATTTATCATTACATCCTAATTGGACTCGAGGTGAACTTAACTCGGAATCTGATGACTCATAATTGTTTGAACTTGGGCTTATTATTGTGTTGGCTTCACTAGACTCAGAATTGCGTAATTCTAAAACTTTAATTAATTTGTCTTTTTCTTCATCTGTGATTTTCAACTGTTTAATTGTATCTTTTACTTTACACTCATTGGCATAGTGGCCAAACTTTTGACATTTGTAGCATTTTACTTTTCTTTGTCGGTACTTTTCTTTTTTGGTTACATTGGAGAAAAGAAATCCCACTGGGATTTGATCCTAGGAGCCATGGAGGGGAGGGGAAATCCACCACCACTGTGGTGGGAATCCATTGGCTGTCGGTACTTTTCTTAAAGCTATTATTCTTATTCTTTTTCGATGCTTTTGACCAATTTTTTCGCGGGTTAAACTTCTTTTTACTATAAAACTCATTATTATGTCGGAATGATTGTTTCTTACGGGAATAATGACGACTTTTACTAAACTGTCGGTTATGGTAACTAGACTTGTTTTTCCTAGAAGGAGGAATGGCAGCTAAACCGTATTGTTCACAGAAATTTCCTAACTCATATTTAGCAGACTTTCTTTCTGATTGTATTTGCTTACTGATTTTCATGTCAATACACATTTTCATGCCTTCTTGATTAATTGTACTAATTATATTACCATAAGTCAAATTATCATAATCTATATGACCTTGATCATTGCTTAAAACTGTGCGAATTTTTTGGGCAAATAAATTAGGAAGACCATTAATAAATTTTTCTTTCCAAAAAGCTTGATTACTATCTTCTCTAAGCATGACTCGGGAAATAAATACATCTTTATACCATCTAAAATCACTTAATTGGGGGCATCTCAGATTACTAAGTTGATCATGAATTCTGGCTTGCGTATGACTAGGTGTTCCTATGAAATGTTCAACTATTGTGTAAAGCAAAGTGTTAACTCCGTCTTCTATACCTCGACCTAATTGTTCATCGAATATAGGGAGACCATCTTCATTAAGTTTAACTGCATGGATTATCTGTCTTCTAGACTCATCCGTTAAATGTTTATCCCACCAAGAACGTGAGGTTCCGATGAAACCAGTTTCTAATAAAGGCACAATTTCAGACTGTCTAAAACTGTGATTAGTAATGTAACTATTGGCAACCATAGACATATGGGTTAACTTATTCATTATTTCTTGTTCAGACAAACCATCTATATTCCATTCATATAACTTATCAGATGAAACTGAAAACTGGTTTTGACTATTTCTTTCTTCAAATTGGATATCCCGGGGGGTTGGTCTAGGATACCAATTCTTAGATAAACTAGTAGGGTTGACCCTGTTTGTTAACCTTTTAACTTTGAATTCATTTTCTAATTCCAAATTTTTAAAAGCATTTTCAATTTTTGAAATATTACTAGATTCTTCTGTTTTCATACTTTCAACTGACTCAGTTTCGGATAAGTTAACTAAAGCTGCAGAGGAACCTAAAACTTTAAGACTGGGTTTCTTAGGTTTTACTGGGGTTAATTGCTCAAGCATTTCTTTTATTTTCTTCATAGTCGGTTTTGTCTTAAGGGTAGGATGCGACTGTAAATCTTGGAATTTTACTAAGGATTTTTCTTTTGACGATTTTCCTAAATCATAAGGGAGCAATTTATCTACTTTGGTCTCTATCTTGTCTAATTGATTTCCTATAACTATTAGACTCTGGTTGGTATAATTATTTTGTTCAATTAATTTCTTATCATCATTGTGATCGGGGACATTAAAGGGACTGGCTAAAACTTTAGACTTTCTATGATTAATAATTAATGTTTCTACTGGGGGGTGACTAGATATGACCTCAGTGTTACTTGCTTTTTCCCATTTTTCCTAGGTTAAAGTTTTTAACTCTTTGGACATATAGAGAATTTCAATAAAATCTAGGTAAAATATTTCTAACTTATCTGACCGCATATATTCTTTCCATTCATTAAAGATTTGCTGTCTTTTTTCTTTACTAGGGTAGGCTGTATGATAGCTATTTCTTCTTTCTTGATTTTCAGGGGCATTAAGATGACTATCTAATCTTTTCCAATTAATATTGAATTGTCGATTAAGGGTTCCTAATTGATTATCAACTACATAAACACTGGCTTCAAAATCAGTTTGTGTGGGTGACTCAGGAGAGTCAGGCTTTATTTCATCTTTAACTGGTGACTTACCATAACATAGCTGATTAACCTGGGATGTTTTTCTTAACGATTCTAATTTTAAATCAATTAGGGCTTTTTCTATCTCTAGGTCTTGTTCTAGAGTAGAAGAGGAAGAAGCTTCAAAAGAATGCCTAGCAGGAATATGTCTCTTTGACTGACTAGGTGTGGGCAACTGCTGTAATTGGACTATGGACTTAGGTTGATTACCAAAATTAATTTTAACTATGCTGTCTAAATATTGTTGAATATAATCTAAATTATTTAAACTATGTTGGATAGGGGCAGGTTGGTTTTCAGTAACTAATGTCCAATCTAAAGGTAAACTGACATCAGACCATTTAATTGTGTGAGGAACTCGAATATTAGCATCGTCTTTGTTACTTTGAATTAAAAGAGTTTGATCTTTTGGACTTCTATTCAAGGCTTGAAAATTGATATTAGTACCGGTAACTTTGTAATAAATTCTATAAACTAGGGCTAATGGTTGGATACCTGGGAGGACTTTGTAACCAGAACTCTTAATATTCAAAGTTAATGTTTTTAGAATATGAGGATCACTAAGACTTATTGTAAAATATGGATGACAATCAAAATGAATTGAGCCATTAAACAAACTAGACTCAATGATTCCTAAAGTACTGTCACTGAAATTAGTAAATCTAGCATCTCATAAACAGAGAAGGATAGACGCATTTAATCGTAATCTGGTAAGTGGCTTGACTACAACTTGAACTAGACCAATGTGCAAGAAATTATTTCCATCATTTTTATGTTTCTTAATTGACTCAAGATTAAGCAACTGGCATGTTTCATGTTCTTTACTTAAAGCATAAACTTGTTCAACTGTCTTAACATGAGTGGGTGAATTAAAACTAGAAAGCGACCATTTTTTCTTATAAATATTTTGACTAGGGATCTTAGGTATATTCCAATCTCTAAAATCTAATTGTTCTTCATTACTAGAATCATATTCTAATTGTTCTTCATTAACTAACTCAGGTAACTTACTAATACTGGCTCTAGAACTGCTTGAATTACAAGAGTTTGTTCTAAATAAATGACTCATTTTTTGCTTAGGGACTGGGGTCGACTTCTTAAGAAGAAGGTGAACAGAAACTTCTAAAACCGACTTATTACAAAACAAGAAACCTAGTAGCTTTCTTGCCCTTCGCTTAGGACGCAACCACTCATGCCACACCTGGGACTTACTGTTTGGACTCTAAGACTTACTGTTTGGACACCAAGAGAGAGAACCAACAGATAACTTGAGATAATAAGAGAATAGAAGAAGAAACTGAAAACTTCTACTCAGAAGCTTAAATCAGCCACTTGGGCGGGAATGAGTAGCAGACCTAGAACAAGTCTTGTAAATTATGAGTGCTATCTATCAATAAAATCTTTCAATCAAGGTTTCTCTAAGTACAATGTTTTCAATTATTTATATTTTTAGTATTTTCACATATGCATTAATTTCATTCATGCATAAATTCTGCATCTTTTATTATTTGAGCTTCTTAACCATCTATGCTAATCCGTCCTGGTTCTAGACCCCTTATGGTATCAGAGCCGTAAGAGTTGAAGAGTTGTTCTAGGTCTGCTACTCATTCCCGCCCAAGTGGTTGGTTTAAGCTTCTGAGTGGAAGTTTTCAATTTCTTCTTATATTCTCTTATTATTTCAAGTTATCTGTTGGTTCTCTCTCTTGGTGTCCAAACAGTAAGTCCTAGAGTCCAAACAGTAAGTCTCAGGTGTGGCATGAGCGGTTGCGGCCTGAGCGGAGGGCGAGAGAGCTACTAGGTTTCTTGTTTTGTAATAAGTCGGTTTTAGAAGTTTCTGTTCACCTTCTTCTTTAGAAGTCGACCCCAGTCCCTAAGCAAAAAATGAGTCGTTTATTTAGAACTAACTCTTGTAATTCGAGCATCTCTAGAGCCAGTATTAGTCGTCTCCCAGAGATAGTTAATGAAAAACAATTAGAATATGATTCTAGTAATGAATTAGATTATAAAGATTGGAATATACCTAAGGTCCCCAATCAGGACATCTATAAGAAAAAATGGTCTCTTGCCAATTTTAAGTCAACCACCCATGTCAAAACAGTTAAACAAGTTTATGCCCTAAGTAAAGAACATAAAACTTGCTAGTTGCTTAATCTTGAGTCGATCAAAAAACATAAAAATGATGGAAACAATTTCCTACATATTGGTCTAGTTCAAGTTGCAGTCAAGCCTCTCACCAGATTAGGATTAAAAGCTTCTATCCTTCTCTATCTTCGAGATGCTAGATTCACTAATTTTAGTGATAGTACACTAGGAATAATTGAATCAAGTTTGTTTTATGGTCCAGTATATTTTGATTGTTACCCTGATTTCACAGTAAGTCCAAGTGATCCCCATATTTTAAAAACATTAACTTTAAATATCAAAACTTCAGGATACAAGGTTTTACCAGGCACTCAACCATTGCCCCTAGTTTATAGAATTTATTATAAAGTCACAGGAACTAATATGAATTTTCAAACTCTTAATAAAAGTCCAAAAGATCAAACTCTGTTAATTCAAAGTAGCAAACCCGAGGCCAATATACGAGTCCCTCACACAATTAAATGGTGAGACGTCACCCTTCCTCTAGATTGGACACTCACCGCTGAGAATCAGCCTGCCCCAATTCAACATAGTCTAAATAATTTAGATTATATTCAACAATATTTGGACGGCATAGTTAAAATTAACTTTGGTAATCAACCACCACAAAAATCTACAGTCCAGTTACACCAGTTGCCCACACCTGGTCAATCCCAGAGACATATCCCTGCTAGACATTCATTCACAGCTTCTTATTCCACTCTAGAACGAGACCTAGTGTTAGAAAAAGCAATGATAGATTTTAAATTAGAATCTTTACAAAAAACTTCCCAGGTCAGTCATCCTTGCTACAATAAGCAACCAGCCAAAGAAGAAAAATTTGAATCCCCTGAATCACCCACACAAACTGATTTTGAGACAGATCTCTACCCAGTTGTTGTAGATAATCAATTAAGAACCCTTAATAGGAAATTCAAAATTAATTGGAAAAGATTAGAAAGTCATCTTCAAGCTCCTGAGAATCAAGACAGGCGAAATAGCTACCACACAGCCTACCCTAGTCGTGAAAAAAGACAGCAAATCTTTAATGAATGGAAAGATTATATGCGGTCAGCCAAGTTAGAAATTTTTTACTTAGATTTTGCTGAAAGTCATTATATGCCAAATGAGTTAAAAACTTTAACCCAAGAAAAATGGAAAAAAGTAGACAACATTGAAGTCATATCTAGTCATCCCCCAGTAGAAACAATAGTTATCAATCATAGAAAAACCAAAATAATTGCCAGTCCCTTTAAATTCCTAGAAGCTAATGATGATAAATTAGTAATTGAGCAAAATAATTATACGAATCAAAGTCTAATAGTTATTGGGAACCAATTAGATAAAATAGAAACTAAAGTAGACAAACTCCTCCCTGAGTCAAGCTCTAAGCCTTTGAAAGAAAAACCCTTAGTTAAATTTCAAGATTTACAGTTGCATCCTACCCTTTAGACAACACCTACCATGAAAAAAATAGAAGAAATGCTTGAGCAGTTAATCCTGGTTAAAACTGAGAAATCTGGTCTTAAAGTTCTAGGATCTAATGCACCTTTAGTCACCCTTTCCAACACTGAGTCAGTTGATAGTATGGAAATTGAAGAATCTAGTAATATTTCAAAAATTGAAAATGCATTTAAAAATTTGGAATTAGATTCTGAGTTAAAGGTTAAACGGTTAACAAACAGAGTCAACGCCATTAGTTTAACTAAGAACTGGTATCCTAAGACAACACCCTTAGATATCCAGTTTGAAGAAAGGAATAATCTGAGTCAATTTTCAGTCTCTTATGATAAGTTGTATGAATGGAATATAGACAATCTGTCAGAACAAGAAATAATGAATAAGTTA